GAAAACTGCTCTTTGGAAACAGACAAGGCACAACTTCTACTCAAGCCCAGGCATTACAGAAGAGGCAGGGAGTGGAAATGCAGGACTAAGCGCGCACAGTCTACATTAGGGATGGGAAAGGTTGGGCAGTTCCAGCTAGCCAGTGAGGGCTTTAGCAGCTCCAGCCCTGCAGGGAACCCACCATGGTCAGGGGCTGCTCTGGAGGGGCTGGGAGCAGGAGCCCCATGGCCTGGGGGCTGTTCCCACCAGGCTTAGTAGGTTAACCAGTTAAGCATTAGGTTAACCTAACGTTTAATTGGTTGACTGGTTAGACGTGAAGAATCCAGGGTTAATTACATATCAAGAACTCAATACAGCATCTGCTGTATGCCAAACGGGGCCCCGCCTTGCTGTGCGCTTTAGAAACATATCAAGTAGTCATCCTTGCCCAAAAGGCCTTACATCGCCTAAAACAGAACTAAGGGTGGGAGCTGAACAAGCCAGAGACAAAATGACTTGCCCAAGGTCACCTGGCAGATCAGTGGCAAAGCAAGAACTAGACCCATGGCCTCCTAACTCCCAGTTCAGTGTCTTATCCACTGGGCCATGCTGCTTCCCACAGTGCCTCAACCTTTATTAAAGCTATTCCCCATCCAATACTATGAGGCACTACCGGAGAGACAGATTCCAGATATACCCAGTTAGATTGTCCTGTTCTACCAAAGATATCCTACAAGTAGCAAAAGTCACGCATTAGTTACCAACCTTTTACCCGCATCCTTTAAGCTAGGACAAGCTGTAGAAAAGGCAGAAATTCAACACACTGAAAACTTAGGTCAGTCGGAGACAAGACAGACCCTTTATAAGTGACCTTGCTCCCCAGGTCACAGGGGTTAAGCACCACAAAAGCAGAAACAATTAAAAGGGACTCTTGAGTCACACCAGAAGAAATAAGCCTTTAAAAACCCAAAGCTTTATGGACTCTACAGTCCACTTGTGCAGTAGCTACCCTGTCACCACACTACCTTGTGACACCTCACCTCAGCCTCTCCCCCTTATCTAGCAAGCCCACTTGCTGCAGCTTGTCTTCGAATGCACTCTCCCAGAGCAGGGACTGGATCCTGCAGACAGATCCATGAAGGGTGGGACCGAGGCAGGAGCCTAATGATCCACACTAAGGATATAATAGAGCAGTTGACTAGTCGGTTATCCGACAAGCAGGTCCTTATTGGTTAATGTATCAACTACACGCAACATTCCTCTCCCCATATATTTTTTAGCAGGCTGGCTCAGTCGCAGCATTAACCCCCTGCACTGGTTCTTAGTGCTTATAGTGCAGAGCCACAGTGGGGGTTGATGCCAGGTCCCAGCATAAGCCGGGACTGAGCCAGCCTGCCTGCACACTGGCTCTTCGTGCCAGGCCCCAGCATCAACCCCTGCTGTGGCTCTGCAGTACAAGCGCTTGTAGTGCAGAGCCACAGCGGGGGTAGTGGCCGGAGCCAGCAGGAGCCAGGAGTGGTAGCAGTGTTACTCCTTACTGATTAATCGTGTAGTTGACAAAATGTTTGTCCACTACACAATTAACCGATTACATGCTTCTTAACATCCCTAATCCATACAGGTACACAATTTCCAGGTCCTGGTTTGTACAGCACCAGCAGAAAAGGACCCCATTTGAATTAAGATCATCATGGGCATTATTGCCATGGGAACAGCAAAAGGCTAGGACTCTGCTATAAGTCTAAGATTAACTTGAAGGAAGAACAGGTTCCAGTTTCTAGAATTACACTCTGGAACCTTGTCAGCTGCTCTGACAAAACTGTCCTCCCCACCTTGCAGACACTTGTTCTCCTGTAGATCCTTGTACCACTTTTTAAAGAGTCCTGAAAATAGTGATTAAGGAATTCAAAGATGCTGACATCTACCCCCACTAATCTGCAAGTTAAGTGCCATTAATGAAACAACAACCAAAGCTGTTCTGTTAAAGCATCACACAGAGCTTGACTTCAGCTCGAGCGATCAATACAAAAAAACCTCACACATGCATTCCACAATTCACTAACAATCCAGGTTATTCTTAGACCATTGAAACAAAATGCTGACCGAACCCAGCCTGACTACAGAAGCACTTTCTTTTTCACAGGATCATTTTTCAGCAGATTCTAAAGTCAATCTCCGCTCCATTTCCCACTGGTTTGGAAAACTATCACTGAAACAGGGATCACCACTTGAAATTAAATAGCCCATGCAGTACCACAAGTGCAGATCCAGTGTGCTCCGGGTATACCAGAACATTTGTATAAAGTACAGTTAGCTGGATCAAGTGGCACACTGGCTCCTACCAGTGCAGATTAAAGATCTTCCTCCTCGGAGTTTAAGGAATTAAAACAAATACTAGAACAACCCTCTACACCAGCTGGCCCACTCTGCTCATATCCTGCATCTTAACAGATCCCACCAGGCATGACAAACCACTTCCCCAATTCTTATCCCATTGAAGTGGGTGGAAGACGGTTTATGCAGAAGACAAACAGGAATTACCTAAATCTTCTCTCTCTCAGGGTAACATACAGCTCGCCAGTGTAAAAACGGAACTGGAGAAGGTAAGGGATTTGGAGACAGAAACAAGAGAGGCCATGGCACCTGAGACCCTATGAAAAGCTCCACAGGGTCTATCAGGAACATATAGACTAGACAAGAGCTCAGCTTCTGCTGCAGTAGCCGGCAGTTCCCAGGAAGGTGCAGGGGGAGGGGGGAGTTAGCAGCAAACAGCCTCCTCCTAGCCAAAGTGCCAGTCCCAGCACCTTGCACCTGCAAGGCTCAGCCCCAGGGACCCTTCGGCAGGAACAGGGTGGCAGCAAGTGGGGCAGCGGCCTCTGGGGGAGGGTGGGAGTCTGCAGCCCTGCCCCCAAGGCTCAGGAGGGCCGGCGCGAGCCCCCCGCCACTAGGCGCAGGATGACAGCTGGGGGGGGGGGAGGAGAATCCTGCCCCCCCCCAGGAGCCCTGCTCCCCGCGTGGGGGGCACCCCAGAGCAAGTCATGGCTCCTGACGGGGGGAGGGGGGCTCCATGCAGCCTCTGGGGCAGGGGACAAATGGGGGAGCTGGCCTGTGCCCCAGGACTGGGGGACGCGCCTGCTGCCCCACCCCCCTGCTATTCACAGAGCGCTCTACGCCCGCTGCGTCCCGCGGAGAGGCGACCTGGCTGCGCCGCCAGCGCGCGCGCCCTACGCCAACTGCGCACGGCCCCGCTCGCGCCAGCGGCGCAGGACCCAGGGCGGCGCGCGCTCGCGAGAGACGCGAAGCGGATTCACAGACCGCGCCTGCGCCAGCAGCGGAGCCGCCCGGCCGCTCCCGTCCCGCCGGCTTACGCAAGCGGCGTAGGCGCGGCCGCGCGCTCCCCCAACGGCAGGACGCGGCGCGCGCGCTCACCGGCCCACGAAGTTCTCGAGCACGGAGCTCTTGCCCGCGCTCTGGCCGCCCACCACGGCGATCTGCGGCAGGGCCCGGTGGCAGCTCTGCCCGATGGAGCTGAACGCGTCCTGCAGCTTGTTGACCAGCGGGATCAGCTCCTCCATGCCCCGGTTCCCCATGGCGGCCGCGGGGCCCGGCTCCGCAACGGCTCCCGGCCCAGCTTCCCCTCACGGGCTCCTCATCCGCCTCCGGCGCCGCTTCACCCCTCCCTGCCCCGCCCCGCGCGGCGGCTTTAGCCAATAGGGACGGCCGTTCCATCAGAGCGGGCGGTGGGTGGAGGGCTGGGCCTCATCGGCGCGTGGCTATTGGTCGCCTGCCCTGTCACTGGCTTCTCCCAACCTATAGCGTTCACGCGTGACCTTGTCAGGAAGGCGGGATATTTAGGTCCCGCCCTAATATCTCCTTTCTGGTTCCTCATTGGAGGAGAAGTCAGTCGCTCTACCTAAGGGTTACGCCCTCTCCGACCCTCACTGCGCCCTGTCCCCATTGGTCAGAACTTTTGCCACTCTGCCACACCATCCATTTCATTGGGAGAGGCGGGACTTTTCGAAGAAAGGCGTGATCAGAATGTCAATCATCATGTCCCTCCTCATGATTGGTCTCCTGTCCTCTTCCCTCCCCTCCCTCCCCCCGCCGGTACCGTATTCCTTCGTATAGAACGTTATCTCAATCGAGTATCTCATTTCTCCGTATAGCAGCACGTTACATTAGCGTATGTCTTCTTAATTTTTTTACCATATATCTCCCTCTAGAAGCTCATGTTACATTACCTTAATTCTCTCTGTTTGGCAGCCACTTGTCCATACAGAAGCCTACTATGAACCACCCCCCATGGGGTAACATAGCTCTCCTAGCTAGACAAGCTGCCCTCCCATATAGCATATTGCCCAGTTTAGACGCCCACCATTGGGCTACCGTAGTTCCCCATATAGAACCTGTCCAATGCACGGCTCAGCAGCGCCACTGAGAAGGACGCTTATCCTAAATCTCTTGCCCGACTCCAGATAGGTGCCAAAACTGTTTACAAACATTGTCACTTTATATGCATTTTATTTGCATCGCCGTTCTGCCTTGAGACCACACTCATGCTGCTGGAGCCATTTCAGTCTGCTCCCAGCTTCCTGCTACCCCCCACATGCATCCTTAGTAGATTAGCAATAGGAAGATTCCCAGTGGGCGTCGCAGGTAGCCCCTACCCACGTTCCAGAAGGGCACCACGGGGCACCCAAAGGTACAGGACGGTAAACCGAGTCTCAGGCTCTACCCCATTTTCCCACTGGAGGATGCACTAGTGCTGGTATTTTAGCCACTCTCTGCTGCTGCCCATCATCCGAGGTCTCTGGGCACCTTCCGCCCAAAACAGTAGCAAAGCCACTAGGGGATTTCAGGGAGGGTCTGCCATTGTTTCCTTTTTGGGGCCAGAGAGAGAAATTTCTACCTTAAATGATAATGCATTTAAAGGGCTATTGGTCTCAGGAATTTTTGTGGCTGGGGGGGGTTATTAAGTAGAAGGAGAGGCTCAGAGCTGGGCACAAGTAGGGTGACAAGATGTCCTGATAATGTCAGGATGGTGCCACTATTAGGGGCTTTGTCTTCTATAAGTGACCTAGAAGCCCCCGCCCCCAGCACCCTGATTTTTCACACATGCGGGCTGGTCACCCTATAGATAAGTGTCAGCCTTAGGGCAGAACGGACAGTTTCCAGCATTCCTAACGCCATCAGACTGGGGCTGGACCTGCTCTCTGCTGGATGTTTGCCTGAAGCCAGTTTCCCCTGCACTGAGCACAGCTCCTGCCTGCTTGGGTACCCTGACTTCAGCTCAGGAAAGTGTCTGCTCAAGCCAGGACGAGGCCAAACTTGCTGAAGGGGTTTTTCTGCGCAGGGACTTTCCCCACAGGCTCTAGGAGCTGCAGCAGCCCAGCCAAGCTTAACACCCTGGCCACTCACAGTAGGATGGGGTCAGGGACCCAAGCCCGGTGCATCAGGCCCGAGAAATGGCAGCAGAGCGGGAGCTGGCTGGAGAAGGAAGGGCTGCTCTGCACATACAATGCAAGCCCCGGAGAGAAAATCAAGCCAGTTTCCTATAGGACAAGGGGGCAGCCAGCTGGGAGGGGCAGCCCCTTCTCATCCACACCAGAAACCCAGGTCTTAGCAGCAGTGTCCTGGGAATCACATTCCCGATGGCTCCCCCATTCACACGGCCCCACTCCCAGCTCCCCCTGAGCAGGCAACTTTCCAGAGCAGCGCGTGCAAGAGAGTGAATCAAAATTGT